GGAGGCTTGGGTGGGGCAGGGTGCCACGCTGACAGTAGGTGGAATGTCACTTGTTTCTGTCTCATGGGGAATTCATTGCACTTGAGGTTGGGTTTGAGGGTTTTCTCTGGAAATCCAGGAGCGGACAAGGCCCATATACTTGAGTCAGCCCAGGATGGAGAGAGAAGACAGGTGAGGACAAGAAGCGATACCAGGCCCTCAGGACCCATTTGGTGTCTGGTGTGTGCTGAGGGCTAGGCTCCCTCCATTTGCCCCTCACTGAAATTAACCAACTTATGCCCTGAAAAATTTCCAGTTCTGCTATCTGGGTTCGAATGCTGGCTCTGTTATTTGCTAGCTGTGTGCCCTCCCCATTCCTTAGTTTGCTCATCTGTAAAATGGGATAAACGTAAGACCTGCCTCGTGGGGATATTGTAAGGACTAAATGAGTTAAAGCATTTAAAGCACTTAAGACGGTGCCTGTCCCCAGCAAGTGTCCAACAAGCATTAGCGATTATTATTACTTGATAAGGTTCCCTTTCAACTGTTTCAAGTATTTACACATCATTTATCTAACGCTTGTTATGTGCCAAGGCTTGTTTTTATCCTCTGGAAACAAGGATGAGGCAGACATAGTCCTCCGAGGGGTGCAGAAACTTTCAGTAAAAGCAGAAACAAACATTGGTCAGATGTGTCCCAGGCCAGGGACCCAGAATGCAGGAGAGCTGGTTGCTGCTCTCAGAGAGTTTGCAGGCTGACTAGGACAAAGGGAAGTGACCCAGCTGGGTGGGGGCTGAGAGGAGCCTGGAGAACCTTTGATGAGGGTGCTGTCGAGGGACAAGGAGTTGCCCATTTTGGCAACTGGAGTGTGTGAGACATGTGAGCAAAGACCCCCTTTGGAGGGGAGGTCAAGGGATGCCTGGGCTCAATCTTTATTCTTTTTTTTTTTTTTTTTTGGTGAGGAAAATTGGCCCTGAGCTAACATCTGTGCCCACTTCCTCTATTTTTCACATGTGGGACGCCTGCCACAGCATGGCTTGATAAGCAGTGCGTAGGTCTGCGCCCGGGATCCAAACCTGTGAACCTTGGGCCACCTGAGCACGTGAACTTAACCACTATGCCACCGGGCCAGCCCCTCAATCTTTATTCTTGAGGGTTGGGAAGTCATTGGGGTTTTGAATAGGGAATTATGTTTGAACTACACGCTGTGCATACATAATCTCATCTAACATAATCCTCGCAACCCTGTGAGTCCTGTCATCATTCCCATTTTACAGATGAGGAAACTGAGCCACAGAGGTTAAGAGAGTTGCCCAAGGTCACACAGCTAGGAAGGGAAGGAACAGACTCACCCAGAGCCTGTGCTCTTCATCTCCCTACCTTGCTGCCTCTGAACTTCAATCCACACGATAATCTTAAAACTGGAAGGAACCTTGGAAATTCCCTGTCTCCCCCATTTTGCAGATGAGAAACTGAGGCTCAGAAATGGGGACTGACTCTCCTAAGACCACAGAGTGAAGGAGGAGAGGCTGAGCTGGGGGTCAATCTGGGCTGCAGGAGGGGCTCCACAGTCCCAGGCATCCTGCTGTCACAGCGGGCACTGCTGTGCTTGGAACAAAATCCAAACTCCTTGCTGTGTCTACAAAGCCCTCCTGTGATCAGGGCCTCACTGACTCCCTCCGACCTCACCTGGGGCACCCACCCTCTCCTCGTCACCAGGCTCCAGCCCACCTCAAGGCCTCTGCACTGCTGTTCCCTCCGCCAGGAACGCCCTTCCACCCGATCTTCACGTGGCTGGGCACTGTCTTCGTCCATTCCCTGCCATAACAAAATGTGACAGACTGGGTGGCTAATAAACAACAAAAATTTAATTCTCACAGTTCTGGAGGCTGGGAAGTCCAGGATTAAGGTGCTGAAAGATCAAGACATGTGAAGATTTGGTGTCTGGTGAGAGCCCACTTCCTCGTTCACAGACGGCCATCTTCTCGCTGTGTCTTCACGTGGCAGAACGGGCCCGAGATCTCTCTGGGGCCTCTTTATAAGGGCACTAATCTCAATCATGTCCTAATTGCCTCCCAAAAGTCCCACCTCCAAATACTGTCACATTAGGGATTAGGTTTCAAGATATGAATTTTGGGAGGACACAAACATTCAATCTATATCAGGCTCCTTCTCGCCATTCAGTGAAATGTCACCTCCTCAGAGAGGCCTTCCCTGATCACCTCTCTAAAGTTACCTCTCATCACTCTCCCATCACCCTGTTTTATTTTTCCATAGCAGTTATGAGGATCTGAAATGATCTTGTTTTTAGTGAGGAAGATTAGCCCTGAACTAACATCTGTTGCCAATCCTCCTCTTTTTGCTGAGGAAGATTGGCCCTGGCTAACATCCGTGCCCATCTTCCTCTACTTTATATGTGGGACGCCTGCCGCAGCATGGCTTGATAAGTGGTGTGTAGGTCCATGCCCGGGATCTGAACCTGCAAACCCCAGGCCGCCAAAGTGGAGTGTGTGAACTTACCCACTACACCACTGGGCCGGCCCTTGAATGATCTTTTTTGTTTTCTTGCGTTTGTGTCTGTCTCTCCCAACTAAGACGTAAGCTGCAGGAGAGCAGGGAGGAACTGCATCTATTTCTACGCAGTATCCCCAGGCCTCGGACAATGCCTGGCACATAGTAGGTGCTCAGTGAGTTTTTGTTGAAAGTATGCCTGCATTTCACTGTCTGCCTGTTGATGGTGTGTCTCCCCGCCAGTCAGGGACCTCACTGGGGCTGGTAGCAGGTCTGATTTACATTGGTACTCTAGGCCCACGACAGGGTTGGCACAGAGCAGGGCTGGCCTTGTTGGATAACCGAATGAACAAAGGATAGAAGGTGGCAATGGCAGGAGCAGCTGCTGCACTCTCTGAGGTCTGCACCTCTCTCCCGTGGGGTGGCCACGGCCATTGTCGAGGGGGCTGCCCTTTGTGGGAAGTAATAGAGCTCAGGAGGCTGCTAATGAGACAGAGTGGCTTCCAGGCCTGGGGCTAACAGCTCCTGAAGCCCCCTTTCCTGCCCCTCTGCCATAGAGGTGAGGGAGCAACAGGGTAGGGGAGAGCTGACCTACACTGGGCCCAGGCACCTGCAAGCCTGCCTCTGTTAGCTGCCAATGCCCTCAAACCTCATTGTCCAAAAAAGGTTATGTGGGTTGGGCCTCGATTATCAGCAGGCACCTAAAATCTAGTCCCAGGTCTGCCCTCTACACTCTGCACCCTGGCATAAGTGAGGCAGGGCTGCTACCTTCCAGAGGAGGGGGCTTCTCATTCATGCAGAGGCAGCAGAGGTAGACAGAGGCCCTGGGTGTGTGTCCGCTACTGGCAGGGATGACGAATCCCTTCTGTGGTGCCCCACGGTCCTGCCCTCTCCATCACAGCAAGAACTAACATGTTGTCCCTGCTGGTCCCCTGCTTGTCTGCCCCTCTGCCTGGCCCCGTGGAGAGTACCGAATAAGGATGGGTGAATAAAGTCTGTGGGCCAGGCCCAAGCCACCTGCCTCACATCCTTGGCCGTGGTCACATGAGTGTGTAACATGCACAGATGCACATGGCTGCATTAACCAGCTACACAGATGTGTAATATGGGGTTGTAGCCAGTGAGGGGTGCAGAGGTCCCGCCCTGCTCCCCCACCTTCTCGATCACACACATCCTGGTACCCCAACCCCTATCTATCACCACTCCTGCTCCACGTGCACACTGCACAGGCCTGTGCACCGGGGAACATCATCTCCCCACCCGCCCAGGTTCACTCCTAGGCATCCCTCAGCCTCCTGTAAGCCTGTCACCTCCTCCAGGCAGCCTGTGCTGCTTCCTCTGGACTGTCTGCTATCTTTGGGTGGCAGGGGCCTCGCCTGGCTCATCCCAGCGTCTGCGGCGCCCAGCACGCGGGCGGGCCCAGAGCAGGGTCACCA